CCTTTCCCTGTTCAGAAACGTTAAACTTTCCACGCGAAGTAACCTTCCCTCCCCCCCCTGCACAGGGGCACACGACTTCTACGATTGTACTGTTGCTATGATAGTAGGCCACCTCCTTGCACCCGTGTGTGCGTGCGTGCGTGCGTGCGTGCGTGCGTGCGTGCGTGCGTGCGTGCGTGCGTGCGTGCGTGCGTGCGTGGGTGTGTGTGTGTGTGTGTGTGTGTGTGTGTAAAATATAAAATAATAGACTTATATCGTTATATAACGAATGGAACACCCCCGACAGTACAATCGTAGAAGTCGTGCGTCCCTCAGCAGGGGGGGAGGGAGAGATAGACAGAGGTCTGTCCCGACAGTACAATCGTAGAAGTCGTGCGCCCCTCAGCAGGGAGGGAGGGAGAGATGGATTAGGAGTTACTTTGCGTGGAAACTTGAAATTCATATAGAACAACCTTGTTTCAAATATATATAATAATAAAAATATAATTTAATGTCATAAATAATATTAACAAAGAATAATATTGCGCGAGCAACCTCACTTTCTTTTCCGGCAGTCTTAGCAAATACAATTAAGTGCAGTAACTGTGATAATGATATCAATCTGTGTAAAGAAACATTAACGTACAGATGTAGAAAACGATATTTTGTAACAATACAATATATTATATAAACATTTAATTGTCTGTACTGGTACTTGGTTCTTCATTGTCGACCGCTACTGGCTTGTCAATGGATGTTGACATCGGAGGATACATTTCAGCAATTATATGGAAGAAGGTCTCGATGCGCTCAGCATAGTCATAGGCGCGTTTGAAAAGAAATTCGGACAAATATCCAACGAAATGTTCCTCTCGTCTCCCATATCTTGGAATATTTCCAAACTTCTCTCCAAATGCGCTCTATATGCTGAGTGTGCGCCCCTGTACATTTAAATAATATATTGTTACAACATAAATTATAGCGAAACATTCATATTATCAATTACAAATGAAAAATTTGAGATATATATACATTTCGCTTATTATAAGACATATTAATATTTTTAAACATATCTCACCAGTGTTAGGATCGACGAAGTTGTAAGAGTGATTGACTGTCAGATGTTGGAAGCCCTTATTGTTTAAACAATTATATGATTTCCAATAGTCTGATACAATCGTCGTTCCTGGCAATATTCACTCCTTAATTATTGCCAGGAGCGTTGTTTCTGTCCGATCCTCCACTGGTACGACGAATACCTTTTTCGAGCCTTGCTCGTATCCCCCGAAAATCCACTGACCATTCACGAGCCGACCACGGTTATATTTTCGTTTTCCAATTTTTGCTTCATCGATTTCGACTGTGCATCCTGGGCCACTAAGCTTTTGGCTGTTTTTCAGCCCAAAACACACAGACCTGTAAAAAAAAAATTATATTTTAATATTATTTTATAAATAACTATATATTTTAGATTTGTATACTAATACAATGATGCAGAAAATATAAGTAAAATATAATTACCTCTCGGCAAAAATTGAACCAGTCAACAATTGTGGTCGGCGATGTGATGCCAGTTTCGACCTGAGTGCGATCTTGACGTGGGTGTTGCAACATTAAAAAACATGCAATAAGTCTGCATATTGTACCCACGTCAAGATTACTATTGTAGAACCAAGTACCAGTTCTACCACTTCGGTAAAAATTGCACTGCTTTGCTACTTTTTTCTTATGTTCATTTTTTACAAAATATCGTTTTCTACATCTGTATGTTAATGTTTCTTTACACAGATTGATATCATTATCACAATTACTGCACTTAATTGTATTTGCTAAGACACCAGGCTTAATAAGGAAATTGATTAATTTTTCGTAATCAAACGATAGATGCCCAAATTGAAGCAGGCCCAACATCCTGCGATTTCGTGTCTGATAACAATAGTATACTTATTGCACATCATTTGTTTTGCAGTGTTTATTTCAAATTTCGTGCACTCTGTTGGGCCGAAAGGTAACCGAGCGCATGCGCACGACATCAGAGAGCATGAAGAAGGCATACTCGCAGCAGTCGTAGCACTACATGTAGTCGGTATTACAGATTTTCTAACCTCCATAATCGTCAACTTTAACGCTAAATATCTCGGTTTGTAGGGCAGAGCGACACTTTTTTCTGCCAGATTCTTTCGTTTCATGCAAAAACGCGTCGAATAAGCCTAATTTGATCGATTTTTGAGGTGAGGCAGTTATTCTGTATAATTACCATAATTTTTTTTAATATGAGCAAAGAAATATTTCTTTGAAATTAAGATATTTTTTCTCTTTGTACCGATCTCGTCATCTAATAAGTGAAAGAATTGAGAGGAAATCTTGAAAGTAATAGATAAATAGCGCGGATAATAGCTTTATTCTTGATCGCACGAATGGGACGAAATATATATATAAATCTATTTAGACCATCGTCAACGATGTAACTTAGTACGGCATTGTTCAAATTGTTGCGAAAGATGTATATTTATCCTGTGCGCGATAAGCATGTTTTGATCGTAGTTTGAAATTTGAATATCTGCTGACACTCTTATATTCTTTGTAACGACTCGCACGCAGGTATTAATTATTTGCTATTGTTGAAACTGAAACTTATAACGCTTGCAGCGCGTGACCTTAATCTCTGAAACTTTGTCAAACCAGCCGTAAAATAGAATAACGCATGGAAAAATGAAGAATTTTCGTAAAATTGTTATTATTTCAAATTTTGTAATGTTGTGTTAATATAAAAATTAAGGTAATTATTTACAATAGGGTCTTTTCCGAATTTAGATGTTTTTCTTTCTTGCAAAAGATTTTTATTAAGGTTGCGAGAAAAAAAATAAAAAAATTCAGAAAAGACCCATGACAAAATAATTACCGGAATTAATTAATCTAAGAATAGTCGTTTTAATTTTGTTCCTGATTCAGTAACTCTTATTGACAATGCCACTGTCATTAAAATGTATACTAGAATATACAGTTTTTGATAGGTTGAAAGTTATTCCCTCTTTTTATTGCCTGTGCTTTTTAATTGTGTCTTAGGACTGCGCAGAATAAAAGGAACAGAGAACAGAATAAGAATTTCAATCTATCAGAAATCATATACTGTGAACTAAACAGTGTGTATTCCATAGTCCATGATTTCTGATAGGATGAAATTCTTATTTTCTGTCTCTCTCTCTCTCTCTCTCTCTCTCTCTCTCTCTCTCTCTCTCTCTCTCTCTCTCTCTTCCTTTTATTCGTCAGTTATAAAATTGGGATACTGAGATAATTTTTGCGTATCTCGATTAAAAGTCATTATTATTAATTACATACATCATATTAATTGTTCTAATTTATTAGTATTTTTTATCATTATGTATACATATCTACTCAATATTTTTTGAAAAAAAATTACTGTGATTGAGGGTGCGGTCGAGTTGCCACTACAAATGCTTTGAAGCGTTTGATTGACCAATCAAAAGAAGGAATTTTACAAATTGACCAATCAAGAAACGCTTCAAAGCATTCGTAGTGGCAACTCGACCGCATCCTGAATTTTATTTTTTCATTGTTAAGAAGGCTCTATCGGTATTCCGACGTCAAATGAAGACTACGGAAAAGTGTGGAAAAAACTGCTTTTAACACTCATAAATCTTATTTCTAAAATTATAATTTTATTTAAGATGACTGTTAAATTTATTAATTTGAAGTGTACACAATGTATATTATTTATTAAGTAAAAAATACAAGGCTTGGTTGAAGAGAGTAGTAACCTAGAAGGTTTTGAAGCGCATGCGCGTGAGCTCGCGACAGCAGAAGCGTTATAACCTATACACTTTTTACAACTTCTTTATTAAATATCTCATTCACTTCTTCGGCAACGTATTATTTTTTTTGCTTTAAATGATAAACGAGATCCTACACTTTCAATATATCAGTTTGTTATTTACTTCTTGACACATTCTGAAAAGATATATCTTTATAACTAATGAATTTTTCATATCCCCCATAAAATATGTGTATTAATCAGACTTTTCAAAAGCGTTTTTCCTGAGTTTAAAGTCGGCAACCCTACCTAAAAACTTTACCTAGGGCTTTAGCTACTTTTAAAGAACAATATTTATATTTTTTCATATTTTTCTAGTCACCTTGCCCTAACGATAGAACCTCCTTAAGGTATAAAAATCATGCCAGATGACTATTTCCGGATTTAGAATTTCTAAAAAATGGAATTTCTAAAGAGTTAGGCCGGTATTCATAGTCGGTTCTTATTTAAAGACTGTCTTAAGTAATGTCTTAAGATGCTAAAGCGGCCCTCTGATTGGTTCGTAACCTTCAAGACTGAACTTAAGACGGTCTTAAATATAAGAACTGACTATGAATACCGGCCTTAGTGTTTTGTGATTATTCAAATTAATGTGGCTTAAATTTGTCGAAGAAAGTTACTGTATGGGGTTTTTATGTATATTTTTAGCAGTATGCTAGTAAATAATTGTGTGAAAAGCTTGAAATTTTTAATTTCATAAATTACTACTTACTGAACCTTATTTTAAATAAAGCCTATATGCTAGTATTTTTATAATACATATTTATATTGCGTAGCATTTTCATAATATGTATATAAAAACATAATACGTTTAAAACTGAATTATTGTAATAGCGGTCGTAATAGCCCATCTATGTGGAGGTGCCTAGAGAGAAAATTTGAGGATGATTCGGTAGGAATACTCGTACACAATTCATATATTGTCATAAAAAATTTATTTAGAAATAAACATCAGACAAATTCAAAACAATAGAATCAATGAATTTTTGATACACATTAATTTAATTTCTAGACCACATCTATTTGTGCCGAAGCATATCTGGTATTAAAATGATAGGAATGACAGTATATCACTCAAGAGCTAAGAGAATTGAAAGCAAAATGTCTTCTTTGTTAACAATAGCCATTACGAGGCAAAGACGAACGACTACATGCGCACTTTCACCGATACGGAAAATTTGATTACGCAAAAGTTACATCGGCAACTCACCCTGCGAACAGATAGAAAAAGTCAGTTAATTATGATCTTTATATTGAATGTTTCTCATTGCAGATCATAATTACCAATTCGCAGCTTGCCACGTGCAAATGCAATTGCTCAGATTTGTCTGCAACCGCGTGAAGACCCTTAAGACTGCCCGTCTCCTTACCCTTTCAAGTACCATGTGGAAGTAGTAATCTATAAATCCCACTGAAAGGAGGATGCCAGTAACTAAACGCATTCCATACCCTTCGCGGTAAGTAAGCCTACGGTTTACACATTACGTAATGTAAGCCACAAAACCATCTATCTTCTCTATCACGTACGGCTTGTATTCAGATGTAATTTGGATTTTCTTATAAAACGTTTGTAAAAAAAAGCACGTAGCGTGCCGTAACATTTATGTAAAAAGAAAATAAAGCACGCTTTTGTGCAAACAATTACTTTATAGAGAATGTTAAAGAGACGGATCGCCTGTACAAGGTGATGTATCGAGAGCTTCCTTTACTTACAAATTGACTTCAAATTTATTCAAATTGCTTCGTTGTTATCTCTAATAAACAATGCAAAATATGGAAGAAAGCGTGCCACATTTGTTCGTTTGACGAATTAACTGATCTTACAATTAGTGCGATTATATATTAACAACATTAAGTCTTCTCGCTCGATATAAAATACTTAAACTTTGTGCTGTACACAATTCTACGTATATCTGATATTTTTTTGCTTTTGGAATCAGAAAGTATTTCCAGTTACAGACATCCTTCTTTTCAACGTTTTCATAGTTATTAACATATTAGTCCCATTTTAATCTCCAATAAAATTTCCTTTTCCTTGGTGGAAGCTATCATTATGCAAGATTAGTGAAACATTCAGGGAATGAGAATAATTTGTACAATTTTAACACAACACATATGTTCATCCTCCATTTTACTCTCATGATCTCCTAACTAGGGCTATTATGACTGCATTGTTTCTACGAGGATTTATTTTTTTCCTGCAAAAATCTTAATGAAATGAGAATTCTCATCTTTACGAATTTAATATAAATAAGATTTATAGTACTTACATAATTATGATTCTTCTATAAATCGGTTGTTTTACAAAAAATTAACAAATATATATCTTAGTTGTTTGTCATTCATTATTCTACATAGGATGATATGCCACTACCATTATTTTCTGTCATAAGTATTAGGGTGCGTCCCGAAAGAAATAGCGGAACGGAATGAGAACGGAACATTGATAGAAAAGAGATAAGATTGTTCTATCTATTTTCTATTAATGTTCCGTTACTGTTCCGTTCCGTTATTTTTGACTCCATGTGACTGCACCCTTAAAAGTCAAAATAAAAATAAATTATAGTAATTACTTTAATAAACGAAATTCTGATATTTACGAAGTTATTAAATGTCGTGGGGTTAAGTTTGCAAAATTGCAAATAAGAGATAGAATTTATTTCTGAATTAATTTTAATTTGATAGAAATCTAATTTAATGCTTAATTATCGAAATTTAATATTGAGAAGTATTTGCAGTCAGATATCAAAACATATCTTAATGAAGTTTTGTTAGAAGAAAGAGATCGTGCCAGATCCATCGGAGACTCTTAAAGAAAAATAGTAGTGGAACATTCTATGTATACATACGAACAGTTCATTATACCATGTATTTTACATTAGATCCGACGGCGGTAGTAGTGAGAGCCCATTGCTCGTGGAAGAAGGTGAGACAGTCGGTGCACCACACAGTCCACGCAATATACACAGTCACAGCCATTCACATGGCAATCCACACCGATCTCACAGTTATCATCATGAAAAGCCCAAACAATTAGTGAAATACGGTGAACTAGTTATACTTGGGTAAGAATTTCCAACAAATGAAACAGATAATGTAAAAGAAAACAGAAGGTTAATGACTAATGAATCTTTCTGATAACTTTCACAGGTACAATGGTTACCTTCCACCTGGTGATAGAGGAAGGAGGAGAAGTAAATTCGTATTATACAAAAGACCCGTGCCAAATGGTGTTAAGCGTAGCAAGCATTACATTGTTAAAACGCCCCATAGTTCGCAAGCCATTCTCAATACGAAGCAGCACTCGATTTCGTACACACTTTCCAGAACACAGGCTGTTATTGTCGAATACACGGAAGATGAAAAAATGGATATGTTTCAGGTAAGTCCGAAATATTCTATTTTAAAAACTACAGTTTATTACTCAATATACAATATATGTTCACTATACATACATACTCTGTTACAAAAGTTTCTAAATTTTATTTAAAAAATTCAATTTTTTATAAGGTTTTTGTAATTTTATTTATTAATTATTCCAAATATATATTACTAAAGTAATATCTTTATAGCAATCGTACACAATTTAAAAAAATATCTCTAATGAACTTCTTTTTATATGTAGGAGAAGTGATCTCCATCAAAACTTTTAGTACTTGACAATATTATTTTTCTTGATAAATATCAAAAATATACTCTCATTTTTTATACCACTGCAAATGAATAATATAACGTAGAAAAATGTAACTCTACAGAATTAGAAATAAAGTTTCATAGAAAGTAATTCCATTATTTCAATAGATAGCTTTAGTTATATAATTAGAGATGGGAAAAACCGTTCTTTTTAGTGAACTAGTTAATACGAACTAGTTCACTGAAAAGATCCGTTCGTCAAAACAGTTCGTCGCGAACTACTCGCCCAAAATTTTTCACAGGCGTTGTATTATATGGGCCTTCTACAATAAGTCATAAGTCATAAATCGGAAGTAAGAAACTAAAAATTGACGACTGTGATTGGTCCATTTCTAGCTTATGACTTATGATTTGTGACTTACGGCTTATTGTAGAAGGCCCATTATACTTGGACACGCATTAAGGCTCGAGTTAGGCTGCGTTCCGTTTCACGCATATGCGCGCATTCTCCTATAGTATACGTGACGCTCACTATATAAAATGCGCGCATATGCCTGAAACGGAACGCAGCCTTAGATTTCTTAAGCCGGTATTCATAGTCAATTCTTATATTCAAGACCGTCTTAAGTTCAGTCTTGAAGAGTTACGAACCAATCAGAGGGCCGCTTTAGCATCTTAAGACATTACTTAAGACATTACTTAAGACAGTCTTGAAATAAGAACTGACTATGAATACCGGCTAGAAACTTTTGGGACAGACCTTATATGGAGTTGTGCGCAGCAATGTACCAATTTAAATTATATGTTCGTAGATCGGTCGTTCATCCGAATCACCTATCGATTTCGTAGTGATGGATACATGTGCGGGCAGTGGTGATGGCGGTCCCACTAACGAAGGACGTGTCGCTCAAAGCACTATCAGCAGATTTGCTTGTCGGATTCTGGCAGACCGATCGGATCCTAGAATTGCTAGAATCTATGCTGCAGGCTTTGATAGTTCAAGAAACATCTTTTTAGGGGTGAGACTCGCAATCTACGATTAACTGGGCAACTTGATACATTTTTGCATTTTTGGTAAAAGAAACTTAATAAAGTATTCTTACAAAGGAAAAGGCAACTAAATGGCAAGAGAATCGTGAGATTGATGGACTTACGACGAATGGGGTCCTGATTATGCATCCACGAGGTCAGTTCTGTGGTGGCGAGGCGCAATGTGGTTTCTGGCGAGAAGTTAGTGTAGGCGGCGGAGTTTTCTCGCTTAGAGAAAGTAGGAGCGCTCAACAGAAAGGCAATGTTGTAGAAGATGAGAGTAATATTCTGCAAGATGGTACTCTGATCGACCTCTGTGGCGCTACTTTGCTTTGGCGGTCAGCCGAAGGTCTCGCAAAGTCTCCGGTAATTTACATCGTCTTTAGAAAAATTTATAAAATCATATATTATATCGTATAATTTATATTGGCTAATTGCACATTTTTTTCTCAGACGAAACAAGATCTAGAGGAATTAGTTGATGCTATAAATGCCGGCAGGCCGCAATGCCCTGTGGGCTTAAACACATTAGTTATACCACGTAAAGCAGCTTCGGATTCGACGCAGCAGCAGCCATATGTTTACCTTAAATGCGGTCATGTACAAGGGCATCATGATTGGGGTCAGGAAAAGGATAAAGTTACGAGAAGATGTCCCATGTGCCTTGTCGCAGGGGCGGTAGTAAAACTGTCTATGGGAATAGAGCCTGCCTTTTATGTAGATTGTGGACCGCCCACTTATGCATTTAGTCCCTGTGGACACATGGCTACAGAGAAAACTGTCAAGTTAGTAATACGTGCCAGTCGTTAATAAAGCTCGCACTTTTGAAAATAAGTTATAGATATTATATTTTTTCAAATTATATGTGAATACATATAACTTGAAAGATGAATATCTTTCCCCATTTTCCTTATTTATCGTTTGTTCTTTTCTTTTGTAGATATTGGGAAAAAGTAGCCATTCCACATGGCACAAACGGCTATATCGCGATCTGTCCCTTCTGTGCGGTACCGCTCGAAGGAACGCCAGGATATGTAAAACTAATTTTTCAGGATAATGTAGATTAAAAATATAAAATAATGGAAACATGTAGAAATTAATAACTTCGTAAGAAATATAAAGATTATTGAACTCATTGAAGAGAATTTTTTTTCGTTAATCATTACTGCTTAAACAGGTTATCCATACCCAGACACTATAATGTTAAAGTTAAGCAGTTACAATCGTTAGTTACAAAATAGACTCATGTGTAACTATTCGCGATTAATTAATAATTAATTAGTAAGTTAATCAATGATAGTAATATTCGCTAGAAGAAATTTTGCAATGATAAAACTTATTTTTGTATACAATGTGCGAGTAAAAATTCTGATATTCTTGTACATTCCGAGAACATTCACATAGAATAATTGAAGATATTACTAAGAGATGATAAAAAATTAGACACAAGAGATATGTGTTTTTAATATTTTATTGCCAAAATACACGAAAAGTAATGCTTACTCATTCTCTTCTGAACGTAAGCGTGCACTGGCATTTGTTACACGTATCGAAAGTTGTTGAGCACGTTCGACAATGAGTTTCCTTTTCTTACTGCTAACAGCATGTGCAATTTCTGCACAGAATTTACGATTTTGCATCATTAAGACTTCAAGTTCCTGTAAAGAATCAGTTTTTGTCAAGAGATGCATAAATAGAATATACAACTGTGCAGAAGGTTTAGATAACATATTTGTTTTATACATATAGTAATAATTCTAATTTGTGTATGCAAAACGCCTTCAGAACTGATTTTATTGAACCATGTTTAAACAAGTTTTTTAAATTCAAGTGCATTTTAATAACTAATTCATATTAACCCTTAGCAGCACGGTGGTCAGTAGTACTGACCACATATTGTTTCGTACATTTTCGAATGTACAAGAGTTATTTTTTTATAGAAAATGATAAATCTTTTTAATTCATGGTACCAAGACCTTGGATAAACAAAAGAAATGACCTAATGTATATAATTTTAGCAATAAGGCATTGTTATAAACAAAGGAACGCAAAAAGAACCACATATAACAAAAAAAAATCATTATTAGCTATTTCAAATAATAAAATGTTACTTTTAGGTATAAGGATTTTTTGGGTTGCTGATTACGAATCTGAAGTCCGTTTTCAGAAATTCAAAATGGCGGATCCAATATGGCCGACGATTTTCTAAAAATTGCACAATTTTGCTTGAAATTTGTTACTCGGGGGTTTTTGGGATCGCTGATTACGAATCTGAAGTCCGTTTTCAGAAATGCAGAATAGCGGATCAAATATGGCGGACGATTTTTATAAAAATGTCTGGATTTTTCGTGAAATATCATACTTGACATTTCAACACATTTCAAACAAAATTGTGCAATTTTTATAAAATCGTCGGCCATATTGGATCCGCCATTTTGAATTTCTCAAAACGGAATTTAGATTCGTAATGAGCGACTTCAAAAACCCCCGAGTAATACATTTCAAGCGAAATTGTGCAATTTTTAGAAAATCGTCGGCCATATTGGATCCGCCATTTTGAATTTCTGAAAATGGAATTCAGATTCATAATCTGTGACCCCAAAAACCTCCGAGTAACAAATTTCAGGCGTTTTCCGTGTAAAGAAAAATGTATGCTTCAAAGGGTTAAACAATTTTTTAAAATTTTGATTATTTTTCTTAATATATACATCATATTATGTACATCAATAGAATTGAATAATTAAATTTCGTTCGTTTTTTGTAATGCAAAGTATAAAAAAATTCGGTTTAAATCGAGCAGTAATAAGATGTTTTCATAAAATAAATTTCGAGTTCACAATGTTAGTACAGCATAAAAATAAAAATATATAAAGAATATAATATAAAAAATAATATAATAATATCGACCTAAATATAAACGGAACTCACAGGCCCTTCTTTAGCGATTCTTGAAAATGTTCCAAAGTCATAGAAATGAATAAATTTACGGTCTAAAAAAAAAGTAGTCAAGAGGTAAAAACAGGATAAGTTATTTAAACATAAATTGTCAATTATTGCCTATTGTCCATTTTTGGTTTGATTACATCAATTAATTATTTATTTGATGATTAAAATTGAATTTCTTACTTATAATAAAATGTGTGAAAACTGGAGCATCTTTACATATTTGTCTTATACTGTTGAGCGCAAGTGTTACAATGATGACAGACGGACTCTTAAAGCATCGGAAACGATGTTTATTTATTTGTTTGACGCTTTTTCAATAGATATTGTCTATATTAGTGCCATTTAATGATTTAAAAGGAAATACAAAACAATATACAAAAATGGACAATAATTGACAATTTACATTTGAATAACTTATCCTGTTTTTACCTCTTAACTACTTTTATATCAAATTGACGACAATGAATTTCTCACTTTAGAAACAATTCACATAAAAACAAGAAAATAAATTCTTTGAAACAATTGTACCATACTATGTCGCTTAGACCATAAGATTATTCATCTCTATGACTTTGTAACGTCTTCAAGAATCGCTGAAAGACTTGTGAGTTTCGAAACGTTTATATTTAGATCGATATTATTATATTATTTTTTACATTATATTGTTTATATATTTTTATTTTTATATTGTACTAACATTGTGAACTTGAAATTTATTTTATGAAAACATTTTATTACTACTCAATTTAGACCGAATTTCTTTATACTTAGAATTGAATAATTTCAACAGACGTCTTTAAATTTAATGTACATTATTATGTTTGCATGATCAAAGGTTAAATACAAATTTTGAATTGTAATAATTAAAAATTTAAATGTTTAGAAATATAGGTACATTCATATTTATCCTATATTATAAATAAATAAGATAAATAAGAAAAGACAATTAATGATGAATTATAAAAAAGAAAACTGATTTTAAATTTTGAATGCTCTCCATTTAATAATACAAGCTGACACAAGCATTATTCCAACTTTCTTGACATTCAATGAAACATTTGTGTCAATTTGTGTCACCAAGTAGAAAAGTTCTTCAGTAATTAACTGAGGCATCATTTTATACATAAGATCTCAATTAATTGATTTTTAAGTTTTTTTTAAAGTGATATTTACCTTCACATTATGTACAAGGACCTTTCGGAAACCAGTTGGTAGCATATGACGTGTTTTCTTGCTAGTACCATAACCAATGCTAGGCATTAAGTACTGGCCCTTAAAACGCCTGCGAACTCTATTATCAATACCTTTCGGTTTACGCCAGTTGCGCTGCAAAATGCATATGACATAAATTGTATAACTTTAAAATTATTTGTTAAGGCGATGCTGGAGAGACGGTCGAACTTAATTGATGTCGATAAAACAGGACATTTTCATGATGTATGTAATATTTTAATTCCAATTAAAATATTACATACATCATGAAAGTATTTACATACATTAAGTAAAACATTACGTATATTAAATAAGCCATTAAGTAAAACGTTATGTACATTTCTTGTTCTACTATATCCTATATATCTTTTGAATGTAAAGTTATGTGGTCAATTTCATATCAATTTCACTCGTAGCAACGAAATTTTTGGAGACTTCGTGCTCTTATACTAAAGCACCTAGCTCGTTTCTCCAAGCATAGTATTGTTCCTTGAGGATTCCTGTTGTCCGATTGATACCGTTTTTTAACGTGCAAGCCTGAAATTATTATATGCAGCACATATATGTGGCGAGTTGACTGCAGAAGCCGAGAATAAAACTGTAAGTTTTTAATTTTTTTTCGTTTTTCATATTAAAATGAATGAAGCGGACTATGTTATAGTCGATACTTTAATTATGGAGAAGGAATTTTCGATCCATAAAGGCAATTAAAAATGCGAAGTCTCCAAAAATTTTGGGTAAAACAGGACACTCCAGCATCCCTTAATCCGAAAGATCAATTTCTCTCGAAGAATAAAAGTTTAAGAGTGCAGTCACATGGAGTCAGAAATAACGGAACGGAACAGTACGGAACATTGATAAAAAAAAGATAGGATTGTTCTATTTCTTTTCTATCAATGTTCCGTTATTTCTGACTCCACGTGACTGCACCCTAAGTAATTAACATGCATAAATAAGTAAAATGTCTTAGATACAATTATATAATATAAAGAGCATATAAGAGTCAAAGAACAACACAATCAAACCACATCTTACACATTGTAATCAATTTAATAATAATAAAAATAATAAGTCGTTAAAGTATACAATGTAATATGTTTCGACTTTGTGATTAAGCTCTCTTCAGATATAAAAAGGAATAAAACGCAGATTAGATAATAAACAAGATATAATAGTCAAAAAACGTTAAGTTAAAGTTTGTTTTTGTATCTAAAATGTTTTAAATAGTGCTCAATTAAATGCAGAAATTAATGCTATAATATACAAAGTGTAAGCAACATAACCTAATTTTACAAACATGCTCACGCGATTAAAAAGGGCAAAACAAAAGATACCTACCTTGAGTTTATTATATCTATCACTCTGATGCCTAATAAATTTCTTCGTTCTTTTTTTCACGATTTTGGGTCGATAGACCGGTCGGATAGACATTTTGAGTTCTTTAGCGATTCACTGAAACAACAAATGATTAATCCACATAGGGATGGGCGATACAGCATCGATATTTCGAATATCGATATTCTTAAGTCCAATATTTCGATATTTTGATCGATACTTGTGCTACCGATGTTTAACAGTATCGATTTGAAATGCTTCAATATCGAATTTCGATATATTCAACACCAAATCTAATAAGGGTATCGATCATGAAACTTTATCCCTAGGATGAAAAGTGAAAAGTGAAAAATTTCTCCATTAACTTCAATGGTAAAAATTTTCACTTTTCACTTTTCATCCTAGGGAAAAAGTTTCATGATCGATACCAAGAACTTTAATAAGATAGGATTCCATTTACTGCTAAGTGCCAGCACTGGAAATGCTAGTTTACGACTTTGCGTTAGAGACCCTCTAATTAGTGACCCTCTAATAAGAGTCTGGCCACCTTCTCCCCGGTTTGTGATTGGTCCGACATTTATCATCCATT